GAAGGGCTGGGTAGGGTGGCCCCTGGGTCCCCTCCAGTCAGGGGTGGTGCAGTGGGGTGTGAACCCTTGTTCACCTCAGTCCTCACTGTCATCTCGGTGCCAGACAGTCCCCTCTGTCACTTGAGTTCTTCCTTCTGGGGCTTCCAAGACAAGGAAGGTCTCTGTTACGCAGACACCTGCAGGGAATAAGTTGCCTGGAGGTCTTTCTTAGAGCCCGATCTCAGCCCACCTGTGTCAGAAATGCCTGGGGCAACTGTAATGGTGTAGGTTCCCGGCCCACTCCAGACATACGGGGTCAGCATTCCCGGGCAGCTGCCTTTACATAGGCTCCCCTGTGCTTCTGATGGAGTGAGCATCATCTTATAAATGCTGGGGCGAAGGGTGCTGGTTGGGGGTGGAGATTACATTCAGTTTTTGTTACCTGGCAGGGCCTGCCAGGTGGGGACAGTGGATGGGGTCAGTGGATGGACGAGCTTTGGCACCTGTGTGTTGGGGGTGGGAGGGTGGTTTGAGTAGGTAAAGCAGCTGGGGAAACGAGAGCTGCGTTGTCCGAGTAGCTTTCTCAGCCCCACCCATCTGCCTCCCAGGTGTCAGATGCCCTGTGGTGCCAACCCCTGCTTGAACGGGGGCACCTGCCGCACAGCTGGGGGTGCGTATGAATGCATCTGCAGTGCAAGGTTCTCAGGCCAGTTCTGCGAAGTGGTGGTGAGTGATGCTTGATGGCAAGGGGGTGGGGTGCCCTGCTCCAGACTTCAGTGAGAAGTCTGGGGGGTATGCATACAGCACCTGTGGAGCTGTTCCGGGAACACCCACCCTGGTGTGGGGAGTCGCTGGGAAGGCAGACTCAGGTCCTTTCCATGCCCCCTGCTCAGGAGGTGTTTTCCTTCTAGGGAGAGCCTGTGGGTCCCCCACCACCTCTCTGGGGGCCGGCAGTGAAGCAGTTGTGCCCTACCAAGTCTGATCTGGGACCTGGAATTCTGGGATTTAGGCTGGTGAATACAAGAGCCTGTACTCTCCAGTGGTTTCTGGGCCAGGATACTAGAGCAGGAGATCTGGAGAGCCCCAGGTTCTGGGCCAGAGCAAGCGTGGCCGCTGGGAAGGCAGCTCGTGACCCTAGGAGGCTCAGCAGAGGAGGGGCCCAAACAGATGGGGGCCAGCAGGCAGCTGAAGTTGGAACCTCCCTCTGGGCTCCTCCCCACTGAGGCTCGGAGCAGGCCCTGCAAGGCCCAGTGGGCACTGAGCCTACAGTGGATGCTGGTGGGAGGGATGCAGGTAGGGAAGCCCGGGGAGGAGCCTTGATCTCCACAGGCTTCTGGCAGCTGGGCTCATAAACCGGCAAATCCCTTCTGCTTCTGGGGAATGTTTCCTTTCAAGTTGAACTTTACAGCCTCCGGCTTCCCCCTCACCCAGTCCCAGGGCAGAGTCGAGGGAGGAATCGGTTTTATAGCTCTCCCATAAGTGCCCGAGGGCTGGAGCCTGGTGAGGGCCTGCTCAAGGCAGGGACAGCCTTTAGTACCATCTCCCAGGCTGGGTGCTGGACTTGGGACCCAGGTCACAGTGGGGTGAGAGGCCTCTCTTGGGACAGAGGGAGGGCCATGAGTCTGAGACCCTGGAATTCTGTGACTTGGGGGCTTTGAGATTCCAGGCCTGTAGAATCTTTGATGGGAGCACTCTGGGAGTCTCCCAAAGCCCGGTCTGGGTCTTCTGACGGGGTAGGCCCTCGTGGGTTCCGAGCTTGCCGGCCTGCCCTTGTGCCTGCCTGCACAGCCCGCCTGGCTGGGGAGCCTCTCCTGCTACCTGAGATGGCTCCCACTTTCAGGGGTTAAGCTTGGTCTCCACAAACACTTTCAAGATCAGACCACCCTCTGGGATGGGGAAGGATCAGTTGGATGAGTTTCTCATGGGGAGTGGCAGGCTGAGCAGCGAGGCTGGGTGGTAAGGCTGGGCATTGGGGCCCACTTTGGCGAGGAAAGAGTGAGCCTCTGGCTGGAACTGGAGGCTGAGGGATGGGCTGTGGGCGTGGCATGGTGTTGGGGACAGAGCTGGTCCTGGCTTGCCACCCACTGGTCAGTCATGTGTCTGGGGGAATCTGGCAAAGCGTCTGTTTTCTCATCTACTACTTACTGTGCGCCTACCACGCAGACACTGCTCTGGGTGCTCCGGGATAGACAGGTAAATAAAATAAACCAAAGATCCCCGTTCTCATGGAAGTGAGGGGGTATCCTCTCTTCCACTCATCAGGTCATTGTAGGATTGCGTGAAATCCCATGGGCAGTGCTTAGCTCATATTAGGTGTCCAGTAAATGTGTTTCCTCTCCCTCTAGCCAGACCCCCTCACTGTACAGGAATTCCCTCAGAGTGGCTCTCTGGCACCCGCCTGCATTCCTGGGGAAGCCTGCTCCTGGCTAATTTTCTCCGAGCAAGCCCTCCTCTCCCCCTTGCCCCTCTCTGGCCGGCCTGGGCCTGAGGCCTCATTACTGCATCTCTTGCAGAAGGGCCTGACGCTGCCGCCATTCCCGCTGCTGGAGGTGGCAGTGCCTGCAGCCTGCGCCTGCCTCCTTCTCCTCCTCCTGGGCCTCCTCTCAGGGATCCTGGCAGCCAGAAAGCGCCGCCAGTCAGAGGGCACCTACAGCCCGAGCCAGCAGGAGGTAGCCGGAGCCCGGCTGGAGATGGACAGTGTTCTCAAGGTGCCGCCTGAGGAGCGACTCATCTAGGCCTGCCTGGCTGCCGACTCCGGCACCCACAAGTCCTAAGCAATTTCTTCGTGGAGACCCAAGGAGGCCACTTCAGGAGCCTGCAGGGAAGTGGCTAACCTCTTCTAGGCCTGGGGAGCTGTTGCAGGGCCCAGGATACCCGCTGGAGAAGTGTCCGCTTTGCTGGCAGTCCCTACCTCTTCCCCACCGTGGACTGAGGAAAGGGGGAGGAGCACAACTCAGGGAAGCAGAAAGGGGCCCGGTGAAGCTGTGGACATCTCCACTGGACCTGCAGGGTCTTTCTTGGGCAGGTGTACAGCTATGCAGGAGGGCTACACATGGGTGCACAGGTGTGTGTGTGTGTGTGTGTGTGTGTGTCTGGTGACCTGCAGATCCCTGTGTGTGTGTTCTGGATGGGGCACATATGTCCATGCCTTTGCTGTGTGTACGTGTGATTGTCATGGGTGCAATCGATCCCATGGAAGGGTGGCTGGGCTGTGAGGACAACATTTACAGCCCTGGGACAGAGGCAGCTTAAGGTCACGTTCTCCAAGTCAGGCCAGGGCTTGCCCAAGACCACTGCCCCAGCTCCTGCCTCTCCTCCCCTGGCAGGCTGCTCTGCCCTGGAGGCAGCTGGAAAATGGGGGTGAGGGAGCATCTGCCAGAGGCCATGTGGACTCCTGGCCCCCAGAACAACTGCTCCTTCGGGCAGATCCATCTCTGCCCTGTGCCAGAGCCAGGCACCCGGGACAGATCCCAACAGGCAGACTGGCAGGAGCAGAGTGCAGGCTGCCTCCAGCTGCTCCACATTGCCGTGGGGGACGAATGGGCTCTGGGCAGCCTCCCTCCTCTGAGCCTGTTTGCAGAATGGGAGGGGTAGCCCCTGCCTACCCCACAGGGCTGCGGTGAGGAGGGTGGGGTAAGCACTCCAGGACTGGCTGAGGCTCGGTCTGCCATGAAGGGCTGTCTGGGCATCCTGTCAGGTGTCATGAAGGTTGGCTTCCCTGGCCAGAGCTGAGGCCAAGAGTGGGGGCGGTAAGCCTAGAGGGCAACAGGATGCAGGACAACCCTCCCACCCCCGACCCCGACGCTCCCGAGCACCTCTGGTTCTCCAGCGCCAGTGCGCTCCTCTCGTAGCTGCCTGGTGAGGCCACTCCTTCACCTACAGACCAGTTCGCCTCTCTATATGGCTGTGCTCTTGGGGGGATTTGGGAAGAGGACTCACAGGAAGTCCTTGGAGATGTTTGCTGAGCTCAGCAAATGTTGGCACCTGCAGAGACACAGATGGTAGGGGAAGAATTTGCTGCTTTGCTTCCAGCCCCTTACCAGGCAATGCCGTCACACAGGATCTCTGATCCCAGAGGGGCACCCCCTGAGGGCCTGGCTTCCTCCCAGCCTCACAGAGTCCCCTTTTGTCCTTCCTGTGTTCCAAGCCAGCACCTCCTGTTCCAATGCCAGCAGGCCTCTTTCTGCTCATAGACTGGAGGTTAGCTTTGCCCAGTAGCTTCCAGAGGTACAGGAGTCAAATCTTGAGATGGAGCCATGGGGTGATGAGGGGGCAGGGGGTTGAGGTGGGGTTCAGCTGAGGCCAGGACAGTAGGTTAAGGGGCTTGGTCCTCATCCTGTAGGAAGTGGGGTCACCTTTCCTCCTGACTCCTGGGAGAGTGGGGAATGAAACACCTGGTACCAGCAATTCAGCCTCAGCTGGCGCCTTGGTTCATTTATTAAGTCAGGGATCTGGCAAACCTGTGCTCTGACAGAGTCCTAAGAGGACGTTTTATGTGGAACCCCAATACATGAAAGCCGGGCTGCTCTTTTCTTGGAGCCCTATACTGCTTCTAAGGGTTCTAGGGACCTGTCATTTCAAGGGCAGCCCAGGGAGGGGGACGTGGCCAGATGGTGGGCCACAGGGGAGGGACTTACTCTGGTGCCTGGTCCTGGTCTCCCAACACAAACATCCAACAGACATGCAGTTTCCAAGGCTCTGTACTTGGTATTGAGAGATCTGTAGGGGTCAGTTACCAGGTGTCCCCTTGAACTCATTCTTCCCTGGAGCTGGGTGCCCTCAACACCACTGGTGACTCAGCAGGCCTGTGACCAGTCCACATCCATGCCCTGCTTGGGAGGTGAAGGAGCTGAGCTGGGTGCAGAGATGTGAGTGGGAACAGGCTTGGGAGTGGGCCAGGGGCCAAGTTGTTCCCTGACTGCTCTGAACCCTGGCCTCTACCTCTACAGAAGCAGAGGAAGATGGCTGAGGCCTCCCTCCCCCTCCCCCCAGAGCTTCCTCAGGACACAGGGATACCAGCCTTCTCCCCAAGAAGACTTTATTGAATGCATACACAAAACGCATCCTTGGGTTTGCAATTTCAATCCAGCAAGTGAATAGACAGCAGTGTTCATGTCAACATAGAGTGCTTGCCACCAGTCCCAACACAGCTGGGGAGACCAAGGTATGGGCTCTGCCTCCCTCGGCCACCTAGTGCCTCATATACGCTGCCCACCAGGTGGGCTGCCCCATCCCTGATGAAGCTCAGGGGTTTGCCCAGAATAGGCAGGTGGATCTGGAATATGTGGAAACACGTAAGTGTTCTGCATGCAGGTGCCCACGTGGCCCAGACACACACCCTCCACGCAGCGGCCAGAACACTCCCGAGTTTAGAGACTTGTTGGAGGGGCCACGATTGACTCAGGAAGGGGCTGTGAGCCAGCCCAGCCGCTCTTCACACCCCACCTCAGAGGGAGCTTTGGGGCCAGCCTCACGGGCCCACAGGCCTCAGATACTAACAAGGTTCCCTGCGGTTGTGGGGGCCTCCAGGAACCCCCTTGCCCTGTCAGACACCTCTGAGCTTCTCTGTCTGACCCTTCACAAATAGGAAATAACAAATCAGGTCACAATGCTCACAATTTCCTGACTGTCTCAGATGGTTGTTTTCTTAAATGGTTGGGCCCTATTTTAACTTGATTTTTTGAAACTAGTCAATTTCAAGAGTCATCAAATCAAAGTAAAAAGGAAAAGAAATATAAACAATAAAACATTTCAATTTAGCTTTGGTGATGCTGGCCTCAGGAATTTCTGTGCTGGCAATAATCATGAGGTGAGTGGGGAGAGGGTGGCTCCTAGCCCTTCTCCTGTCTCCAGGCTGCAAGAAGCCAAGTCTGTCCACCCCCACCAGGGCCTGGAGAAGGGTTCAGTGCCCCTGCCCACTCCTGACCCCAGGAGCTCGGGGCAGCTGGGTTTGCTGCAGCCCCTGCATCAGTCTGTGGCCTACCAGTTGGATTCTGGATACCCGCTTCTCAGCTCTGCCCCCACAGTGCCATGCAAGTTGAGACTTGCTGAGCTACACTTGAGTAATGTGAGAGACCAGTAGAAACCACGGGCACCAGATAGGGACGCGATGGCAGCCCAGCTCCTCCTCCTGATGCATTCAGATTCAACTGTTGATAGTTTTTCTTCTACAGATCAGTTTTCAGTGCTCCCAGCCCCCACAGGGCAGGCTGGGGCTGAATCTGGCTATCAGGAGGGATCCCAGGATCCCTCAGCCCCCAAGTCCCTACAAAGCCAGAAACAGTGGCAGTTTGGGGGTTAAGTAAAGACTGAAGAAAGAATGAGTGTGCATATTGCTAGAGAGGGCTTGGAAATGCCCCACCAGGTAGATCCTCCAGCCCAGGGTGGGGTTCCTTACTGTAACTCCAGACCACATGTCTTGTGCAGACGAGTTCACGCTGAGGGTACCACTGGTGCCTGGGCCATCAAGGTGGGGTGTGCAGGGCTGCAGCTGGGTGAGGAGAACGGGGCTCTGGAGGAGAGGCCTTGAGGAGCCTTGGGGCTCCTGGTGGGAGGTTTCCAGAGGGTAGGTGGGTAGAACTTGGTGTGGGTGGTCATCAGCCCAGTTGGCCTCTTTAGTGCAATACCCAATGAGGGGTGAGGGGAGGGCAGGCACCCCAGAGCTGGGTTGATACCCAGGCCAGAACTGGTGCATTCTCCAGGGGCCAGACGTCAGAGATGGGCAGTATGGGGGAGGGCAGGGGCAGCAGAGAGGGGCCCATCCCTTCCACTGGCAGAACCTGGGCAGAAACAGAGCAGCAGGGGAAGCAGGGCCAGCTAGCCTCAGAGCCGCAGCGACGGCAGAGCAGCGCTCAGGCCCAGGCTTGCCCCAGCCCTCATTGCCTGGCTCACTCAAAGGTCTCCCATTGCTTCCTGAGCTGCTCCACTGAGCCTAGGGCTGGGGCTGGGCTCATGTCTTGCTTGGTCTTCCGTAACAAATCCTCAAAGGGGTCTCTGGCTTCTTGAGGAGCAGAGGGCTGCAGTGCTGGCTCCAGGCCCTGTGGGGGTCTGGGAGGAGGCAGTGGGGGTTTTCCAGGCCTCAGGGCCAGCCCCTGCTTGGCCTCAGCAGCCCTGGCACTTGAGCGGGCCAGGGGCAATGTTCGGATTCTCGAAGGGGCGACCACTGGGGGGCCCACGGGCTGCAGAGGACTGTTGTGGGCACCCATGGGCATCTGGCCAAAGAGGTTGGGCATGGAGAAAGCAGACAGGTTGGGTTGAGATCTATGTGGGGCACAGAAGCCAGGACTGGAGAGCAGGAGGCTGGGGGCAAAAGCTGGCCCCAGGGAAGCAGGAGGGGCCCCGAAAGGCCCAGCTGGTGTGGAGACCAGGGGCATGGCAGGCAGTGCTGCTGGCACAGATGGGACAAAGGGGTTGAGTGATGGCTGTGGCAATGGGGTGGGGGTCCCTGTGGGGGGAAAGCTAAACTGGGGGGTGAAAGGGGTGGCTACATTTGGGGCTGTAGGGCAGGGTGGAAGGGTGTTGCCTGACCAGGCTGTGTTAAGTGGATCTAGGAGGGCCAGTAGTGCATCACCACTTGTGTCCACGGCCCCTGGGGCCAGGCTGAGTGGCTTCAGCAGTTCAGTGGGGCCTTGGGGGACAGCGCTGGGGAGGAGTCCAGGGAAGAGGCTTGGGCTCAGGCCAGATTGCCTATCCCGCTCAGCCTGCAGTGGCTCTGAGAAGTCACCGAGGGTGACACCAGCAGCCTGGAGCTTGGCCAGGCGGGAAGTAGGAGGTGGGGGCACAATGCCCAGCTCTGGGGTCTTCCTGCCCTGGGGCCGGGGAATGGTGATGCTGCCTGGAGTGGGGGTGGGGGCCTCCTCCTTGTTGTGGGGGTTCAGGGTGCTGTCCTGGCTCTGGGGCCTGTGGGGCAGGGCTGAGGAGTTCCCGAGCAGGGCTGAGGACTTCTTGGGGGAGGTGGCCAGGGGCTTGCTGGGAATGGCCATGTCATCCTGGCCCAGGCTCCAGAGCTTGTTGTATGGGTGGGCCAGCTTCCAGGCCACCGGCATCCCAAGGCTCCTCTCGCTCCTGCCCAGGTCCAGTCTCTATTGGAGGGAAAGGGAGACCATCGACTGACCTGGGATAGACGGGAAGGCAGCATGTACCCATTCCTGCCCCTCCTGTATGTCGGACACGCTCTGAGACTGTGGCTCCCAGGCATGTGGCTGACTAGCCTGCTGGAATGTAAAGGAGGTGGGGGACTCAGCTCCTTTAAGGTCACCGGCAGAGAGCCCAGGTTCTGTCTGGACTCCAGGCCCAGGCTTTTCTCACTGGGTGACACACAGGGATTCCAGAGAAAGCTCCTGCCCTTTTACACCAGTGTTGCCAGCAGTTTTAGGAAAGTAATTCCCTGCACTGACCATCTCCTGGAGGGGCCCTTTGCACTTTTCAAAGTATGTAGTCCCTTTCAATCACCTGTGAGTCCAAGAGGGTGAGTGAGGCTCAGAGCCCAGGTGAAGGCATGCTGGCTGGGTGGGGGGAGGGAAACAGGACTGGGCTCAGGTCCTGGCTCTGCGCTCACAGGCTACACCACCTGGCATCACTTGCCCTCTCTTGGCCTGAGTGTCCCAATCAGCAGCAGGGGACAGTAATTCCCTGCAGGGGGCACACGTGGGTCCCTGGATACACAGGAGCTTTGTGTTTCCACTATGTGACCAGTGACTGCAGAGGTGGCGGCCCCTACTTGCAAGTGAGGAAACAGGCATGGAGAAGGTAGATAATAGACTGAAGTCAGGCTAGAAGGTCAGTGTTACACATAAATAATTCAGAACCCAGGATTTTTGTTCCAAAGGAGGCTTGGTAGGATGGGAACAATCCTGATTCTACCAGGGGTCAAAGCCCTGCCTGGGGGTTGGGCTGGGAATCTTTGGGAGGGTGGCCTGGAGCACCAGCCAATGCTGCCTGTTGCACAAATGACAGTGAGGGGCCGGTTTCCATCAGGTCTAGCATCTTCTCCAGTGGCCACTCTGAGGGGCCAGGTGAGATGGCCTGCCTGGTGGGGTCTGCAGTCAGAATGACCCTAAGCCATGGCTGAGGACCTTGAAAAAGTCACTGTTTCTCCCCCAGTATCTTTCACTGTCACATGGGGGTCCTGCCTCATGGTGTGGAAAATGCCAGCCCTAGCAGGTGCCCGCCCCCACCCATGCCATACCTGATAATCAAAGGTCCCCGGCTGCTCCCTCAGGTCTTTGGGGGGCCGAAGGTCCTCCAAGCTCTTGGCCTGGCCCAGTGGCTGCAGTGGGACCTCCATGTCCAGGCTGCTGAAGACGTCTTCTAGGAGGTCGATGCTGGCAGCCCGGTCAGGTGGAGGTGGGGCAGGGCCCACGGGATCCCGCACTCGCTGCTCTGGGCTCTCCGCCTCGTCACCTTCAGCACTGTCTGACTCCCTGAGTGTCCGGTAAGGCTGTGGCCTGGGAGGAGGCAGGGCAGGCTAGATTCTCCCATCCGGAGCCTTATGGGAGGAGCAAGCAGCCCCCACCCCGGAAAACTTCCAGGCCTTGAGGAGTGCACCCAGGAGCCTTGGGGACAGGAGACTGTCCTGGGGTCCTTGTGAGTGCAGGAGAATGGGCAGCAGCACTCTGACAGACTTGGGGCTGAATTTGGGTTTTGCTGTTCCCTTTGGGACCTTGGACAAGTCACCCTGGCTCAAATTTGCACCAGGGGACCTGCTTAGTTCCCTCCAACCACATGATGCACCATATAACTGGCTAGTGGGCTCACAAGCCAGACGAGGAATGGAACATGCCTGGAAAGGGAACAGGCAGGCAGATCATTCCCGAGCCCACTGTCAGCACTCCCACCCCGCTGCAGGGCTCATGGGGGATTGAACTGGGGAAGCTCCTCAGAGCGGCTGCCCAGCATGTCAGTGCCAGTTCTGGTTGTGCCATTCCTTGCTGTGGGACCTTGGGCAAGTCACTTAACTTCCCCGAGCCTCAGCTGCTTCCCTACCTCGTGGCAGGTAGTAATTACCGAACAAACGCAGTGCCTAGCATACCGCAGGCATGCAGAGGCTGTGAACAGCATTCCGAACTTTAATGCATCAAACCTTGCAGTAGGTGACAAAAGGTTCTCTGTGCTTTCCTTTCTCACAAATGTGAGCCCCATGGCACCACCGGGTACATGGATAATGGTGCCTGGATAAACCCTAGCCTCTAGTGTGGCACGGGCCAGAGCTGCATCCCTCCTCCCCTAACTGGAGGCAGGGGCCACTAGGTTGCGTGGAAACCACTTGTGACTCTGGTAAACTGGGAGAAGGATGCCACCTGCTGGTCCCGAGGGCCCAACTGCAAGAACCAGGGCAGGGGACAGAAAGTGGAGGCAGAGGGCCGTGTCTTAGCAGGGACTCCATCAGCCTGTGGTATCTCGCTGATCAATACAAGCACCCCCTGAAGTAGGACTCATATTCCCACTTTGTAGATGAGGGAATTGAAGCTCAGAGAAGCTAAGTAACTCTGCCCTGTGTCACACAGCACCTGGCAAGAGGTAGAAATGGAAGCCAAGTATGAGAGACTTCAAGAGACCATCCCTTGCTCTAAGCCATCTGACCAAGGACGTGAACCTCCTTTAACCAAGTTGGAACACAATCACGGAGATAAAGAAAAGTCAGTGTGCTTCTTACACTTAAGGAAAAAGCATTCTTTTAAAAAGAACCCATTTTAAGATGGTCCAGTTCCTTTTTAAACACACACAAAAACTTACACTTACAGGTCATGGCTAAGGGAGTAAGCCCTAACCATTATTTAAATAATTAAGGCACCAATTAATTTAAAGAGAATGCAACCTGCTTGACTTTGTGGTGGTGGTGGGGTCCTTGGACGTTACCCAGGTCAAGTGCCTTTACCTGTGAGGTGATTTTAAGTTGATACATGGATGACATTCCTTGTTTTAATGGTCGTATGTTTATTTTAATTAATAGTAAATAATAACTGATACCTTAAGCCATGATATCACAGATATTGCTTAGGACAAGGCTAATTTTTAAGTTAAAAAAAAAACTTTTGAGAGAGAGATTCAATGTACCGAAAAGGTGGCGTGTAGAGCTTGGGCCGCACTGACTTAGGCCGCCACTTCCTAAGTGAGGACATCAGGGAGGGGCTGACCTGCCTGTGGGCAGAGGTGAGCCGGCAGCAGAAAGGGCCAGAACCCTCCCACCCCGTGGGGGCAGAGGCAAGAGCAGAGCTGCCTCCCCTCCACCCAGGGGGAGCTGCGGGGAACAGTCCCCTTCTCTGAAAAACACTGCGTCAGTTCACCGCCTGCAGGGTGTGGTGAACCTTGTGGGTGTTCAGCAAAGGGCAGTTCCCTTCCCTTCAAGTCTCCTGTTAAAAACACCACAACTTTTTAAACAAAGAAACACAGATGAAAACTTTCCCTTTGCTCAATCTTAGCTCTGAAAAATATTATGGGTGGAGGAGCAAAAACTGATGAAGAAAGGGGAACTACCAAATTTTGATTTTGGGGGTGGCTAAATTGTGGGTGAACATTCTTTCTCTGTTTTTTACTGTATGAGGCTTAGGCTATAACTAATAATAGTAGAAATTATCTTATAGTCACGCAGATCAGGAAAACATTTCAATCTGTCAGTAATAATATACACATTTTATAATTAAAAAAAAAACTTAAAATCTGATCCTCGATCTCCATGGTTTTGTAAGACATGTTGAGATAGAGGACTTGGGCATCAACAACCAGGCCAAGTGTGGCCACCAATTCCATTAACAAACAAGTGCATTTTCCCCAAATAAGGAGCAGGGACTGACGCTCTCGTCCCACACCTGTAGAGCCCTGTCAGTCCTGTCACCTCACTCCACTGTCACAGTCCCTGCAGGATGAACGCCAAGAGGCACACAGCGGTGGCACTCACCCTGCAAGTTTGCACTGGGCTTGAGAAGGCAGCAGCCCTGACACCCTTCTGCACACACAAGGCAAGCACACTGGCCACCCCCTCCCCATCAAGCAGCCCCAGAGGGTCACCAAGCAGAGCTCAGGGAAATGGAAGGAAGGAGAGACCATTCAAAGGGGGCGGAGAAGAAAAAGCTTTCGGTGAAGCCAGAGCTCGGGCCCTCTTCCCGCTGGCGTTCATCGTCAGAGGAGTCTTCGGAGAGGAAGACCGCGTAGTGTCGCAAGGGCTTTGCCAGGCTGGGCAAAGGGAGACAAGAGAGAAGAGAATGGTTAGGAGGCACCCTCAGAACTCCATGGGGCAGGGTGGGCTCAGAACCTGGGCCCGGCCTCCCTCTGCAGCCCGGAGTGGAGGCTCTCTGTAGGCCACAGGGCGTGGGAGGCCTGCTGGGCTCCAAGGTGGGCGAGCTGGTCCCACACAGAAAAGAAACTATTTGCCACATGAGTCAAGAGCCTCACACACAAGATCCAGTCATTTCTGACCTCGTGATTACACTTCCATCTAGATGAGCCTGAATGTAGCAAGAATTATGCACAAAGACGTTCATCACTGCTGTGTTTATATTAAAACATGAAACCACCTGAATTCCCTGCAACAGGAATCTGGTGGTGTGAATTATGGTACAGTTGGCTGAATTTTATCGTCCCATTAACTGTAATGTTTATAAAGAAAAATCTAAAAGTCAGGATACAGATTTGCAATAATAACACATTCTTTCTCATCTACTTATAGAAAAAAAGACTGGAAAGTTATATGCCCAAATGTCATGAAAAGCTAGTGAGATTACAGGTGATTTTTTCCCCCTAGCCCCTTTTTATTTTTCTGTATCTTCTATATTTTCTATAATGCACTTATCTACTTCAACAATCAGGAAAAAATAAAAAAAGTTAAAGAAGAAAGTGAGCCACACGGAAAAGCACTTGTGGGAAGGCCCTTTCCTGATTGGCAGCCACTCTGGAGTCTCCCTCACATGGCTCTTCAGAGTCTTTTTCATCTATGATGTGAAAATTAAATATTCATTGTTATAAAAAATACATCTCCCTTGTCAGCCACCTGTGAGCTCTACCTCTATAAACAAACACCCCATGCCAGCTCCTATGAATCACACACTGACCAGGGCCATGAGAGGTGGGTGCTGGGGAGGGGCAGCTGGACACGGCCCACCTCAGTTCAAGTCCCGGCCCCACAGCTGCTGCTCTGGGCACACCACAGGGAAGCAGGTGGTCCGTGCCTCTGCCCTGTTGGGCCAGCTGGACATGTCTCGACGGTCCCCAGGGGGCGATGGTGAGGAAGGTGGGAAATTAAGCGTAAGGGGTGCCTGAGGGGGGCTATGTCCTCTCTCCTACCCCCTAGCCAGAGCACTTGCCCAGAGTCACACCGGGGAGGTAGCAGGTCACAGGCTTCCTTTCCTCTCCCAGGTCACCTTGCTGCGTGTCAGGGACGAGATACATCCTGACCCTTCCTGGACTAAGGAGAGCAGTGGCCCAGGATGGGCATTTTCCTCTGGACTCAGAAGGGTGGGTAGGAAGATCTGACCTGCAGAAGTGTGCCCAGCCTGGGACATAACACAAAGCACAGGAGAAGGGCCAGGTCCTGCCTGCTCAGAGCCACTCGCCACACAGCTGCTGGAATCCTGTTCTGAATCGCAAACCCAACCATGTCACTCTCCTGCTTCACACCTGCAAATCTGCTGCTGGGAGTCGCAATCCTGCAGTGACCAGTTGTGTGGTGAGTGACTCCGTGGTGTTAGCAATAATAATGTTCAAACATTTGCAGAATGGCGCACTGGTCTGTTTACAAGTTAGGGGGTGTCTTACTTGCTAGCGCTGGACTGCTCTCCTAAGCAGGGGAGGGGTGGGCAGACACCCCAGCCTCATGCTCCAATCTGGGGAGCTTGTGGAATCTGCTGGATGGGCAGGAATGAGGGCTGCAGCATGGCAGTGCCAAGTCTGAGCTCCAAGCATGGCAGACATCGTGCCGCAAGCCTGGCCCTGTCCAATTCTGGCCTCCTCCCGCCCTCCCCTGACATGCCACCTGTCTGTCGCCTCTGTCTGGTGACCCAACTGCTCTTTAGTCTTGAAGACTCTGCTCAAATGCACTCCTAGGAAGCCTTCCTGGAGCTCCCAGCCAGAGTTTTATCCTCAGACTGCATGTTTCAGCACTTCACTGGCACCATTTAACTTCTTGCAATTCTGAGTTGAGCTTCTAAAGGGCAGAGGCCTGGCTTGTTCTTCTTTTTATTCCTGCCTGGAGCACAGCACTGGCGCAATGAGAGTTTCTGATCAAGTGAATGGAAGTCAGCAAATTGGGGAGAAAAGGTCCCCCCAGCCCATTTTACCCATCTTTCTGGAGCCCTGCCACAGCTGTGTCCTTTTCATCAGCTTGGGGCTGCAGTATAAAAGTGTCCCCTGAGTTCCCATCTGTCCTCTGAGATGCTGAGATCTGTGGAATGGGATGTTTTAGGGGGAGGGTGTAGGTATATAGGGGAGGGCAGGAGTCTCAGAAAAATGTTTCCAAATACTATCCACAAGTAGGCACTGTACCAGGGGCTTTATGTAGGCTATTTCTACCCCTCCCAACAGCCTAGCAGGAAGGTATCACTGTACTGATTTTTAGGGGATGAGACTGTCATTAGTCTGTCTCTCCATCCATCCTTCCACGCACCCACCCAGGCACTTCCTGTGTGCTTGGCAGGGTGCAGACCCAGTGCTGGCTGAACACTGGAATCACTGGTGAAGAGAAATGTGACCAGGTGCCCAAGCCAGCAAGTGATGAGCCGGGATTCCAGCCCAGGGCCCTCCCTTCCTGTCAGTCATGCTGGTGGCAGATACACGTGAGGGGGCATGCACCTCTGCCTAGCTCAGACCCAGTGAGCCTCTTGGCCCTTGACTCCATCAGAACGCCTTTCCCACATCAGTCCAAACACGGCCACCTCCTCTGGCTTTGATAAGGCAGGGATCACAGCTTGGCACATCAGCTGAACACCACTAAATGTGTGGATTCACATGACAGCAAAGAGCCTTTGTCCTGGACTGGACTTTGGCTTCACCATATCAGGCTGTTGCAGTTCACGTCCCTGTTAAACACCAGTGCCTCCTCACACTGGGGCGATCACAGAGCTGGCTGGGGGACAGAGGGAGCCTCATTTCCAGCCCACAAACCATTTTCCCTCTCCAGCCGGCCTCTCCTGGCCAGGCCAGTCTGGTTGGGCAGTAGCTTCAATGAGAGGCCCAGGCTGTCTCTTGACCACCACCTGTCTCTTGAGAGTGACAGCGCACCCAGGTGAGAACTCTGCCATGTGGTTTAGTCCGATCCTAGTGTTTTCACATCCAGGTTTCGGGCCACGTGGGTGATGATGAAACTAATGTTCTTACGAGTGTCGGGCTCAGTACGGTCCACAGTTTCTCATTAATTTATCACATCCTCATTTTGCAGATTAAGAAGCCAAGGCTCAGAGAGAGGGAGTCACTTGTCCAGTGTAGTCCAATAGCTAAAGGCAGAGCTGGCAGTCCGGATTTACCTGCCTCTGGGCCACTTTCTGATCCTGCCTCTTCAGTTTCGTGGACTGGAAACAATGAAATAAGGGGTAGGGAGTTCCCCCTTCCACTTTAATAACAGGTGAGATTTCAAAATAAACTTATTTAAATTCATCTGTTCATGTTCTCCCATGAAACATACAGTCAGATATTTGTCAGAGATAAAGGATGAACCATCGAAAATGTCCAGGTTTAAATTTTTTATTAGCTTAAGGTAGAATATGAAAAAAAAAGTGTACCTTTTCCCTCATTAACCCAATTCAGCTACTACCCTGCAGTCTGCCATCTACCACTTGCCTGGATTTTATTACACACAAAGAACTGTCTGTGAAAAGACAGGTCATGGTGAACTTGGCTACCCAGTGAGGGCTACAGGAGTATTGGCACAAAAGAAAGTCCCGCCGTCCATCACCGTTCAGATCCCATCATCTCCCACGACTGCTCCCACCTCTGCCCACTGCATCTCGCGTGGAGCTCCCGTGCGGATGACTTCCCGAACCCTTTCTAATGTTTGGTTTAACGTGTCGCCAGTTAACGGGCATGTGTGACAGTGGTGACAGGCACGGCTGTTCCTTTTTAAATACCATGTCAGAGACACGGCGTCAGGAAGCCGGGATGTGCTCTGTGGCTCTGTCGTGCCGGGATCACATGGGCTTATTTTTTAATGAGGAAGATCTGCATCTTGAGAGTTTTTTCATGTGTCACATTGCGTGGACAAATCAGCAGCACGTCACGCTGGCCCAAAATGAAATGCTGACAAATGTAGATATTTCAAATTTAATTGACATTTAAATGTACTTGAGATAAAGAAGGGAAAAAAATCAGCAAGGACTTGGTCTCCAGAGGTAATGAGGGGAGCTGGTGATCATTTTTTAGAGGATCATTTCACTCCAGCACAAAGGATCTTTACTTTGTAAATGTCCTGGTTGCTTTGGTGTCCCTTGATTACAAGGCTCTCCTGTGCGGCTGATGAGCAGGGACAGACCCCAGGACAAGGCCAGGTCCTGCCTGCCCAGTGGATGCCAATCTGTCCAGCCTTCCACCATCCCCCAGACAACCTTGAGAAAAGTCATTTTACCTCCCTGAACCTTAATTTCTTTTGTGTAAAATGGGGCTGCAGCCCTCCCGATACTGTTATCATAAAAGCTGAAGGAAAATATTCACAGAGCTTTGTCTAGTGCCTATGGTTCAGTGCATGCTCAGTAAAACCTATACGCACATTTACCTGCCAGCAAATAGATTCTGGGCATTTTCATTCTGTTCATGTCCAGGGTCTTCCTGATGTGTTCAAGGACAAATAAGGGGTCCCTGCCTTCAAAGACCTTCCCAGTCAAGGTTAGTGGTCCCCAGCTGAGCCCACCACAGCCATGGGGATCCCTGAGAGGCTGCCATGCCTTCTCTCTGCCATAACGCTAGACCAACACTAGGGCCAACACTAACCACATGGCATGTGCTTAGGTAACAAAAATAGGAAAAGGGTCTGAAGCAGGCGAGATGGGCCTCTGGGAGAACTGAGGCTGGTACAGGACCGCAGAGGAAGCTCAGGATCTGCCCTGGAGCCCCTCCTGTGGGGCCTGGGGTGAGGCAAGGGCTGCTTTTAGGGAGGAAGACCTGGAGACAAGTATGGGAACCTCACTGGACAGTGGACCTTTGCACTCAGTTGTATGTGTGTATTTAAAAGCAGTAATGGGAGAATCACCTGT